TTAGCATTTTCAAAGTAATCTAGTCCGTTAAAATTTTATCCAAAACGATAACACTAATGTCTAAAAGCTATTCCCAAACAGGCCCGTCATGAGTGACAGATAAACTATTATAACGCGTAGGCACCCGTAGCGATTTTCTAACATTTTTGTTCCAACAAAAGACAGAGCCAAGGGGTATAGGGCCACGTGCCCCACTAAGGCGATTCTAAATAAATACTACCTCCGTGTCTGAGTATTTTGTACTCCTTCCGTCCCCAATTTGATTACAAATTGGGGTTTATGAGGAGCGATATCTCACTTTTTAAAATCATTTTATTTACAAATTGGTATATGGATAAGAAATAAATTTACATATTAAAAAACTACGTCAAAAGTTCTACAAAACAAGAGCCGACAAGAATATTTTATTTTAACAAATACTTAATGAAATCGCGTAAATAAACAAACTAAAAGTTATCGAGAAGATAGAGAAACAATTGTAATCAAATTGAGAACAGAAGGAATATGTTTTTATATAAATTTGGTTAAAGACATTCAACAAAGAGAAATTTTTAAGGTTTCAACCATGAACCATTTTTTAAGATATAGAACTAATTATGCATTTTAAAAGATCGGAGGAAAAATACACACTTTATGAAAAATATATATAGGAAATACATTTTTTGAATTTTGAAAACTCGAGGGGGGATGCATTTTATAAAGAGTTTGGAAGTATACAACCATCTTATACTCATTCCGTCCCAAATTATTTGCAACGTTTGTTTTTTCAGTAGTCGCAGGAACTTTTGTTTATTTCTACGTTTTCATTGGTTATTTGATAAAATAAAATATTCTTGACAACTTTTATTTCGAAGAAATTTTAATGTAGTTTTTTGATATGAACATTTTATTTTTCATTTCTATACCAATATATGTAAATAAAATTATTTAAAAAACTTGATATTTTGCTTCGAGAATACAAATGTGACAAATATTTAAGGACGGAGGGAATAAAAAATATATGGACGGTAAACGTTTGAAAGTTTGACGGGAAACATACATTTCATTAAAGGTTTGGGAATTAATCATGCTAAAAATTCTTCATTTTATTTATATTTAATACTCCATCTGGAATTAATGGGTACATTTTCTTCTTTTAATTGTCTGAAAAAATTAATGCTATACCTCATCACTCTTATTTAAAAACAAAAACAGTCCAACTCAATACTCTCTCCGTCTCAAAATAAATTTCACTGTTAACATTATAATTTCTCGATAACTTTTGTTTGTTAGTATTTTTCATTGATTATTTGATAAAATAGAATATTTTTATAGACTTTTGATATATTTTTAGAAAATAAAATTTATACTTTTTATTTTATATTAATTTTAATTAAAATAATTTTAAAAATGATAAGATTTTATACATCACTTGAACAATGATATCTATTTTGGGACGAGAGAGTATGAAATCTTAACCAACAATTTAACTTTATTTTTCTCTTACTTTTGACCAAATAATTACAACCAATATTAAAAAAATTTAAGGTCGATTTTCGGGCAGTAGAGCACTTACAAAGAGAGCTCTGTTGCTGCCGCGCCGCATCTCCATGGGAAGATGTGGCACGACATTCCCGTTGTGATACTGCGCCGGTCCCCATCTATTGTGACGGTCCGCTGCGCCGCTTGCATTTTTTTCCAACTCTTTTTCCTTCTGGCGAGGCGGTTTTGGGCCCTCCATTGTAAATGCTCTTAGGTGTCCATTTTGGGAGGGCAAAGGGAGTATGAAATCTTAATTGAAGAATGAGGGACTATTTGTGTAAAACAAATGCAAAATGACCCCACTCTCTATTTCTCCAAATTAACCTAATCCACACACACACAAATTTTCCAACTTTATATTGGTGGACTAGTGGTTTCAAAGTTTCCATATATGGCTTCAATTCAATCCCTCCATCTCTTCTCACAGTTGTAACTTTCCTTCCTCATCTTGTCTCACTTCAGTGTAGCAGACGGACGGAGGAATTGAGAAGATGAAGATCTGCGCGCTGTGCAAAGGCATGGCGAGGCTCTACTGCGACTCCGATCAAGCGAATCTGTGCTGGAGCTGCGACGCCCAGGTCCACTCGGCGAACTTCCTGGTGGCGCGGCACTCCCGCCGCCTGCTCTGCCACGGCTGCCAGTCCCCCACGCCCTGGTCGGCTTCCGGTTCCAATCTCGGATCTACTGTTTCGTCGTGCGAGAGATGCTCTCGCGGGGGAGATAGAGGCGGCGTTGAGGCGGGAGATGAGTGCGAGGACGATAACGGCGAGGAAGATCAGGAGGAGGAGGAGGACGAGGAAATGGAGGCCGAAGAGGAGGAAGAAGAGGCGGATTTGGATGATGTTCAGGTGGTTCCGTGGTCATCCGCGGCGCCGCATCCGCCGCCGGCGGATACTTCATCGAGCAGCGATGACTCGTTTTCAGATCTTGATCATCGGGTGACTGTCCTCTCTTTGGCTTAATTTTTGCTTAATCTCTATGATTTACTTGTTTTTCCGTTCTCTGAAACCTGAATTTCATCTTACGTTTCTATAATTCCTTTCTGATTTTCTTAAGATCCATTTCTAAATTCTCTTCTTCTGAATAGGACAGTCGCCGCCGTTCATCCTCCCCGCCGGCGGCTCACAAGAACGGCATTGACTTGAACGAAGAGATTTCAACGGCGCGACCGGCGAAGCTGCAAAGGACAGACGCTACCCGAACAGACGCTACCCGAACGGGTCGGGTCGAAAGATCCGATGCGAGATTCTCGCTAACAGTTGACGCGCTAGCGTTCGCACTACCGTAAATTTCGACCTCTCCGAAAGTTCGTAGCCGCTGGGGGCCCCACTGGGTTTAACAGCCATTCTCCATCACCAATTATATAGTATGTCCTGTATCTTTTTAAATATTTTTTGTTTCTTCACTTTTTTTTGTTTGACAATAATCCTATCTACACACCATTTAGTATACACCCATTTGTAAACTTAATAGTTACACTACACGTTGATGATTTATATTCACATAAAATATCAGTTTAATTTTAAAATTTTAAACTAATATTTCGTGTGAATATAAGCCGTTAAAGCATTGGTGTACAACTTGGTGTATATCAAGTCGTGTACACCTAACAATGGTTAACTTTTTTTTTTAATTTGTTTAATTTGTACCTCATCTTCCTCATATACGGAAGGGGGGAGTACGGTGTATTTTTTTACGGATAGATCATGACACTTACTTACTCCGTACTTTAGAGCTATTTTTGTTCGATGTTATATCTCTAGGAATATTAGAATAATAATACAGAGTATGACGGTTTTTACTTTAGAAAACTGAATCTAATCGAACAAATTAAACTTTAAGTATATGTGGTATGTAAAAGAAATCATAGAAATACAAATGCAAAATATTGACTAATTGGTTAAATTTATTTTCTTAACTATTAATTAAACATTTTAAACTATATTATAAACTTTAAAAAACCTAAGAATATATATACACCAATAATTAATCATAATATAGAACTATATTAGCATAAAAATTGATACAGGTAATTTACATGAAAAATTATGATGTTATAATGGAAATGAAAGTATTGTATCAAAAAGCGCAAATTCTCTGTCATTGGTATTTACATACAATGTCTTTGGGAGTAATTAGAATCTTCTAGATATTTGTTGGACACTCGACCCATATTTTTTTAAGTGAAATTGAACCTAACGGAGCACTAACCTTCCTTTCGACTTTTAGTTGTGTAAAAATCAAACCAGAAAACCAAACTCGATCCTACATATTGTTATTGTTTCATTGAGTTAGTACTTTTACAATTCTTGATGCTTATAAATTTTTACTTTTATAAACCAAAAAAATCAAAATAAAAACTGCATAAAACTGAACTGAATAACCAACAATTTACATACTCCCTCCGTCCCCCATAGATCTTCCCATTAGCCCTTTTTATTTGTCCCACATAGATCTTCTCATTACCTTTTTTAACATTTAAAATAACACAACTGCTCTTACTTACTTTATTTATTACACCTTTTCCACCTTATTTAATACACCCCACCCATTTTCATTAAGGGTATTTTGGTAAACTTTCACCTTTTTTCAACTCTCCTTAAAAACCACAAAAAGTCAAAACGAGAAGATCTTAGGGGGAATATTATTTTATGCAAAATCAAAACGAATCATACCACCAACTTACCTTTTGTTTTGCATTTGGTTTTTTGTGAAAACCGAACCATCAAAACCAAACGCTCCCCAGTTCTCGTTCCCTAAACCTCATTTAGATCCCACCCCAACCCCCTAGGGATACACTAATAAATGTCAAACGAATGGGGAGCATTGAAGTGGACTCCACATCTCCTTGTGGCGTAAAATGGCGATGGCCCCGGGTTCTCTTAATGTGAGGTTACGGTTTCATTTCACAACATTTCAATTCTGATATGAATCTTATGTTAGAAGGGGGAATAGTACTCCTATTTTCTACCCTGCGGTTTGTTATGTACTTATGTGCAGTGTAAAAACATTATTGAAAAAATTCCGAGACAAAGGAAGATTTTTTGGACTGAATTCGGCCGAGGGAAAAACGCAGTCGCTGACTTCCTTTGAAATTTCCTTTTTTTTTAAATTTTGCTCAAAGGAAGTCGCTGACTTCCTTTGAAAAAACTTTTCAATCTGGCACGCTTTTACGCAGTGAACTTTTTCTCAAAAGAAGTCGCCGACTTCCTTTGAATTTACTTTTTGTTGACTAGTTCCCTTCCTAATCTGTTACTCTTTATATTTTTTATTTTAAATTAATTTTTACCTTTCAAAATAAAAACTTAATTTATATTAATTTCTTTTAGCATTGATTTAATTCAAAAATAATTAAAATAAGAACTCATATGATGATATAATTAATTTGACATAAAAAAAATCAAAACAGCAAAATTACTTTCATAATATAAATAAGATTTGTTCAACAAACGTCAATAGAAATTAAAAAGATAATCTAAAAAAACAAATGATTTTTAATGACTTGCAACTCTCTCCATCTCTCCCAAGAAATGTGAGAATTCAGTTTTGATGCCTTGCAACTCTGTCCATCTCTCCCAAGAATCGATTTCGCTGTCGACGACCAGACCGAGAAATTTTTTCAGCGGGCCTAACTGGAGGTAGAATACGTAAATTCCCGTAAACTGATTGTTGCAGGAAAAGCACAGGGTTGATGTGTACATTGTAACATCTCATATATTGTTCAACTGAATACATTGAAGAGATTTCGTCGTCAGCCAACTGTCGAAAAGAATGATACAGTCCGTGAACATGCACACATGGAATACCATCGCTGCTCCACTGTCCGCAAGTACATGTTTTTCTTCCCAAATCCACTAAAAAGCTATAGATGTTACCTAGATTAGACCTCGATGTTCTGCTTACCACATATTCTTGCCCCCCGTAATGCACAGCTTGAAAAAGTTGTTTATCTTTTTCGCGCTTCTGAAAAATCTTTGTGATTTTAGGAGTAAATAAACAATTTTTCCTCTGCCATGCAAAACATTCTTTACGTCGTGTCTCGAACTGATCAATGAGTTTATTATACGACATTGTGACAATAGCAGTTACAGGTAGCATCCGACAACCCTTCAACATGTTATTGAAGCTCTCTGAACTGTTGGTAGTAAGTATCCCACATCGATGACCGCCATCATGACTAAGCGTCCAAAATTCAGGTTGAATTTTTGCAAGCCAAGCATATGCGGTCTCATTTATACTTTTGATTTCTTCCATGTGTTTTTGAAAATCCTGGATGCTAGGAGTGCCAAATTGTACGGAGTCCATACGACCTATAAGAAATACAAAATTAATTTATAATTTTAAAAATGTTAATTAAAAAATCTAAATTTAAAAATGTATATTTTTAAAAATATACATGACGGAATGAAGCATTGTCATACAAGGCTAGTTCCCCCTTAAGTATATATTAAATTTAAAAATATATTAAATTTGAATTTTAGTAACATGCGTAGTAATATTTATAAAAATAAATACAACATTTCACATACCGTGCGCCATATGGCTCGTCTCCCTCATTACGGAGTGGTCGATGAACATCGCGTCAATGATTGCGCGTTTCAGGGCATATTGTAATGAAACATACCTTTCAATTGAGAGTAGAATGGAGATGTGTTGTGTTGTGAATTATGATAAAATTTAGATGATTTGAATAAGGAAGAAATTTAAAAGGTATAAATTAAAGATAATGTGTTGGAAAGGGGAGGAGAGTGTTTGAATTTGAAAAGAGGTTGGAATGTGTGAAAAGGGGAAAGGGGTAGGGTAATTTAATGGTTGAATTTTAAAAGAGGTTGAATGGTTTAAATAAAATAGGGAAGAAAGGATGGAATAATGGGAGAAGGGATTGGGAACACGTAATTTCTTTTTTTTCTCAAAGGAAGTCGCCGACTTCCTTTGTCACTGATTGGAAATGCTTTAGCTTTTTTGGAATTCAATCACCAAAATCTTCCTTTCAGGGAAGTTACCCAACATTATTGAGGGGCAGCTTGCCTTCAAAACTCCGTATGATTTATGAAAGAAGGCCATTAGTGACCACGCATTATACTTTTGGATAGTGTGGATGACAATCTTTTATCTTATGACCAAATGATTCATTTTCAAAAAATGCTAAGGTACACCAAAGGTGTACCCCATTTGTCTCTCATCCCCTCCTCCACCACATAAATGGGTAAAAACTTCAAAAAAAAAAAATTAAATAAATAAAAATTAAATAAAAATAGGTGGTGGAGAAGGAGATGGGGGACAAATGGAGTGTACCCCTAGCATGCTCCAATACGCCTAACCTCTTTGAATGTCTCCATTGATTCAGCAATGTATAAACCCCATGCCAACACAATGAGTCTACACTTATCCTCTAACTCAACCACCAAAGGACATTGATACTTTAGCCATATTGAATCCTCACTAGCACAAACCAAAATGTAAATAGCCTTATAAATCTGACCTCCACGTCCGTGGATAGAGAAGACCAACGATATGCCACTCCCTAAGAATAATAAAACCTGTACATCAACAAAGAACCAGCAGTCGTATAGGACAGTACCTCCACCTGATTCCAACAATTAAAATAACAAGAATAGCCAAAAACAAAGGGAAGGTAAAGGGAAGCAGGAAGTCTATGAGGCTCAATGATCCCAAGATATCCTCCCGATCACTCATAGTCAATGAGGTGACCACACATGGTCCTTATTATTGGTTCGTCGATGTTTGCACAGCACAACAGAACCGGATGTCGTGTACCTCTCAACTTAATTGCCCGAATGGATTGCGCACTCTTCATAGCATCCCTTGTAGGTTTGAGTGCCTTACCCTCTAGTGTCTTAACGAGGCCCTTCTAAATCTTCTCCTTGACGAAAGGGAAGCGAATTGCTTCTTTAATGACCCAAAGAGCTTTCTCAAAATCATCACTAATATGTTGTTCAAACAAAGGAAAAAGAAGCTCATATTCTTTTTGTAGATCACCTCTTGCCGATTCATCTTCTATTTCATCGATCATTAATAAATTAATCTCTGTTAGAATAGGTTCATCCAGACATGGGTCCTGCACTTCCGGAGCTATCTTAAGCTGACCATCTACAATAAGTTGTTCATCGGAGTTCAAGCGGAAAGGCTCTACTGAACGCATGGTACCTGCAACTGCTTCCAAACCATCTTGACCGTCTAGAATATCTAGTTAATGCTGGGTACTAGAAGTCTCCTCTTTGCTTGGAATTGCAGTGTGACCAGAAACTATAATATCTTCCACTATTTGACTATTTGGTTGCTCTTCCTTGCATTCGAGTGATCTATTCTCCAAATCATGAGTAATGGAAGCTATAGCCGTTTGGACTGCCTTAATGAAAACAGTTAAGTTCGAGTGTCTTCGACCTGTTGGAATACAAATTGTGGACCTAACCCCCTTAAATATTGATTCAAGTTTAATAAAATCCCCATTTGTGTTCTTGAGCCAGTTGATCTTCAAACAGTCACTGGTATCAAATCTACACAGTGACCAATTTCCCTCTACCCATAACAATTGCTCTAAACTCTCAATCATCCATGAAACCAAGATTAATGATAAAGACACTGTACGCACTATCCCATTTTTGCATTCTGAGATGTTAAGTTCACCATCGAAACGAAAGTCATACCTTTTACTTTCAATCTTAACCGAGAATAGGCCGGAATTACCTGAGAATGGACAAACATAAGCATCAAAAACTGCATCCTTACTGTCCTCAGGGCCAGCGTTTCCTTTCTCTGTCTTGGAAACCCACTGTCTCCTCCCTGAAGACTTTCAGAATTCCTTTTCTGATCTATGCATTTGATTCGTTGATTTGTGCGAGAGTGCCATCGCCTACCCTCAGTTTGAAAACCAGGGATACTAGTAGGTTGCCTCCCTTTGTAGAACAACTGACTGTGTTCATCCCTGTCCCAGCGATGAGTCCGGTTCCTCTAATGTCTGAAGAAATTGTTCTCCGGCCATGTACCAAAACGTCTCTGATGTCTCTTGTCTCTGCGGATTCCTCGCGAATTCTGAATACCACTGTGACACCAAATTGCTTCTCCTAGGTGTGGATTGGATCTGTACAGACTTCGAGGGCCTCTCCAATAATCCTCATGGAATAATCGCCGGTGATTCCCCCATCTTTGATCCGATTGAAATCTGCCGTTAAAAACCCTAGCGCGATCTTCCCAGAACCGGCGGCGCATTTTTCGTTATATATATATATATATATATATATATATATATAGGAGTGGACACGGTACCAAAACGGTACCGTCACCGGCAACGGTACCGCCGGTACCCGCCACCGTCACCGGCAAGGTCGCCGTGTCACCGGTTCAGGGAACCGGTACCGCCACTTTCGGTACCGGTACCGGTACCGGTCCGGTTCTGGTATCGGTTAAATTTTTTTTT